ACTGTACAGCTTGAAAAGGAAGTGATCCAAGGAAAAGCGATAGATTGTAATAAAAAGTCGAGAATGGTTATCTGGACACTGCCATTAACAAGGGCGAATTGATGAAAGGAACAAATGTGAACAACATTGAAACAAGCTTTATTCTCCATTCACTTGACTTGTGGAACTCCCTGTTGCAGGACCCCAGCATGGCAGGTATATCCAGATTAAACATCATATATAAATGTACTTTCTAGCTCGCGCTGGTTACATTTAATTTAAAGGGCTGCCTATGCCTCAGACGTAACATGTCTCTTGCAGGGAGTTATTCCTTGTCTGATAGACTATTGCAAAATAACATTCATTATCTTAACCGGTGCCGGAGGTAGGACACTGGATTAGATAAATCATTATATCCATTTTGCAAGAGGGCTGGCAGTTTCATTAATAAATAATTCGAACTAAGGGGAAAAGAAAACCTTCAGAGGACTACAGTGTTAGGCACAGCCTGGCCACAGCAGAGAGGTTCAGTGGTTCACCTCTTGATATGGGGCAACATAAACTTTTGGAAAGAAATATAAACAATGGCAATGAGCTTGTAATTTATATTTTATTTTGCACAAGCTTGCATATATACTGCACATACATTCAGTTTAGAGAAGATGGAAGGCACACAAGGCAATTGAACTACTGTATCCTTTAAGTGGTACAAAGCAAAAAGGTAAAAGTCTGGAGAGTATACAAAAGCTTTAAACACACAAAATAAAATCCACCCCCCCCAAACATTTTTCCTGTGTTTATCTTAAATTTAGTAGCTGCCAAGCTAGAATTGTAACTTTTTTCGATCAATTGTCTACTGCACCTTTTTTTCCAAACGGACAGGGGAGTCTTATTGTTTTATCTTGTCATCAATTAATATTACAGTACATCCTTGGTAATACAAAATTGTACACCTTCATCAAATAAATTAGGATAAATTAAACCAATAAATTATGCAAAGTCTTCAGAACAATAGACAACAACAAAAAAATCCACAGTTGAAATTGCCTCTAGCTAAAAAATAAAATAAAAAAAATCAAAAATTGACTTTATCAGTTCAGTTATTGTACTATCTTCAAATTAAAGGGTCTTTATTACAAAAAAAGAGCTTAATAATGCTATTTACAACATATTGCTAAATAATATAAAGGCAGTGTTTTGTCACTTTTGTAACTATATACATATGAGTAATGGCTGGGACAATATCAGTTTAAACCTTAACCTTTGACTCTTCTGGGCAGCATTAAAACCAACCTAAAGAGGATTTTTTTTTCCTTGTTTTTTAGTTTCTGACTCTTACACGTTATATGGTAATGAGATGGTTATTGTGTTTGTCTAATATCTCACTCAAGTGGTATAATTAATGCAGAAAGGATGGATTTCAGAGAAAAATGTAAGCTCGCTGTTTCTTCTAGATTTGTTTCTACATATCCCGGTATATTTGTGCATTTGGAAGGTGGCTGCTTCGGGAGAGAGGTGACTGTGGCTCAGATGAAAAGACTAAATAAAGTCATAGTGCCACCACCTTTCATACACTAAAAAGGATATTCCTAAGAAGATACAAAGGTTAAATACCAGTTTTCATCCCAGCTCTAAATATGAGCATTTTTAGCTTCAGTTTATAGATGGTTTACAACCAACAGTTCTACAGAAAACAAAATTGCATTTCCTTCAACAGAACATTTAAGTGCAATACAGTAACTGCTTACTCATATAAACCAGTTACATTCCTTAAGGGGAGCTTTTTGAAAACAATGCGTATTGGAATTTTCAAACACATAGTTGGTACCAGAAGGAAACATTTGCACTATTAACACCAATGATTGCTATATAATACACATGGCAAATATAGTTTTTGCTTTCACTTCTCATGTACAGTGCTCATTTTGGGGGTTTTGTAAACCACTTTCCATTTTTTATATATATATATATCTTTCTGTATATATATATATGTATAATCTTTCAATGCTGCTGGTGAAAATCCTATCTTTAAAGCCACAAAATCTTCACCTTTATTTCTTAATTAATATTAACCTGTGGAAAAAAACATTTTTCTATTAACTGACTTCATATACATAGAAAAAAATTCTGCAATTTTACAGAAACTGTATCACCCATTCCCTTGACATCTGATGAAAGAGACTTAACTTTTAAAAGTAGAGAGCTGGATTTTCAAGAATGCTTTCAACTATCTATACAGTTACTGTAGTGTTTCTTATAAATTCAACAGATGTTTTCAGAATGTAGTTATTAAAATCTTATGTCTTTATGCAAGAACATCCATAAGGTTGAATATTTACATTGCTTTATAAAAGTTCCCCTCGATTTTCCATGTTCACCCACATACCTGGTACAGTAACAAAGATTCTGCAAACTTAAAACACTTTAATTAAATAATACTCAGAGGCACAAAGCAAACCTCAGGAATACATGGGTGAACACTTTCTTAAATAATTACTACATTCTAACATCTTTCACGTGTTTACCATTAAATGTGAAACGTTCCCATTAAACAACCAGAGATACAGTAAGAATTAAATGTTTTGTAGTTTCAAATAGAACATTCTTTTCACAAAACATAACAAATGTCTAAAATAGGTTCTTAATCTAGATAGGAAAAAGGTAAGCTTTTCACTTCATACGCATATTTTGTGTGTGTGTGTTTCTGTGTATATATACATACATACACCCACACATTCTGTTTCTGTGTGTGTGACTACATATGTATATGTATATGCACATATGTCACGTATGAAATATTGCTTCTATACTACTTTTCATCAGGCTAAGAAAACACAAGATTTGCACCACAGTTACAAAAAATTGGCTTCTACAAGAATTTTCAAAACTTGAATGCTGCTCAAACAATTGAGAAAAAATAATTTGCGTTATCAAACTGTTCTAAAAATTCTCTTCTTCAAAAACGTATTCTCCTGCTTTGTTTTTTTTTTTTTTTAATTTTTAAAAAGACACAAAATATGCATAGCTATCAACATTATGTCAAACAGCCGGAAAAAAAAAATAATCAGTGTTTATTGCAGCTGTAGTAATTGAAAAATAAAGTTTAAAAGATGAAAATTGTAAGCCACAGAAGGCACAAGAACAATTGTACTTGTGGGGGAAAAACTGGTATTTTGAAGGATTTTTTTTATCCTTCCGCTGGTGCATTTAAGGTCTAGGCACAGACTATAACCTCAAGTTTATATGCAGAAATAAATCTGAATTAGCAGTAAATGAATGGCAAAATGGGGTTTCTACATGGGTTTTGAAATTCTTTACATCTGGGACTTGGCAAGGGTGCAAGGTTAACACTAGTAGCCTGCTGCCTTTTAGCCATTTTTAGTGAAATAATATTGAGATCATTTGAAAGAAACTGCTTTCTACTTACAATTTAGTAGGAGCTATGCCACGTATTTATAATTTTAGGTGTCTTGGGAGGCACAAAGGCAATATGGCTATAAAATGCAGAAAAATCACATAACTCAAATGATCAAATTATCATTTATTCCTTTTTCAGAACAAGGAGTTTTTTATTTTGCTTTTAAGATGAAATTTCTACTCTTAATTCCTATGCCTCATTTACTATTGAGATTATGCTACTTATAAATAAATAAATAAATGCAACAACATCAAGTGTTGAGTACACAATTTCACTTATTTAGATTATGTGAATCACATTGCAGCCAAATAATAATAATAATAATATTAATAATAATAATAATAAACAACATAATAAAAGCAACGGTAAAATCACAGATTGAGATGGTAGCTAGTAGTATGTCCACATAGTATGACTAAAGTATGGCTTTGCTTTCTTATGTCCAAGGTGACAATGCAGTGTTATATTTTGTATCTGATGGTATGCCAATGATGAATTTACTGTATGAAAACTTGAGCATTTTATGCCACTTCTTCCCATAAATCAAAAAAGTGCATGAACACAATTTTCATCCTTTCTTACTCAGAATTCACTGGAGTTACATCTTTATGAAGTGTAATGTTTACCAAATCATGCACACACACACACAAAAAAAAAAGAAAAAAAGAAAAAAGAAAATGAAAGAAAAGGGAAGAAAAGAAAGAAAAAGACACGTCCTGTCTACTGTAAGGGTACATACAGTATTAGGTACTCTCAGGGAGTCTACGATCAAGAAGATTTGTTTTGCTTTTAATGCATAGTGAAAATGTTGGCACTTCATCCCATGCTATTGTCTGCATTGCCTATACTCCACAGATACTGCCAGTGCTTGAAAAGAATGACAGGGAATCGTAGGATTGTGCTGTTTAATTTGAAATCAGCAGGTTTTTAAGGCTTTCTGCTAACAATAATTGCTTTCATACATTTCTGTCTATCAGCAGTATTTGTAAATGAAGTGAAATTGCAATGATTAGGTCAGCTCTTTAGTCACATGGGTAAACTTTCACTCTCCAAAGTCAAAATGTAATTTTAAAATAAAAAAATAAGATATCAATATCCTCGATGGTCTAAATATAATTTGCAGTTAATTACGAACTTCCTCTAGATTCAGATTGAATTATGTAGGGGAAAATATTATTGATGATAACAATAAATTCTTACTGCATCCGTACAACAGACGACAGAAAATGACAAATACAGAGTGCCATAGCATATTCAACCTTCCCCCAAACTTCTGGAGACGATACCTTTCTGAAAACACAAGAAAAGGAGAGCCATTGAAGAAAGCACAAGAACTAGCAGCTAGCTTTCTTTTCATCTGCCATCATATCGTGGTATAGCATTCAGGCGAACCCAGATCCATCATGGACTTTACACTGTAGCTCAGATTTTGGTCAAGACTAGCTCCAGTTCAGAAGACAAGTGCAGCGCATTGCTCAAATAGATTTTCTTTTTTCCTTTAAAGCTGCACTTACCATAATTTTAAAAATCCAATTTAGCTATCTGAACCCTGCATAGCCAGGAGGACACTGTGATTTTTGTACATGCTTGATTAGACTTTTATGAAAATGTAATTTTTTTTTCTCCTTTGCCTCAGCACTGCGAGGTGAAGACACTTTCTTCTACTGTATCTAAGATCATTCAGAAAGTACGTTTCAGGACAGATGTTGAATACAGACAGAAAACTTTGTATACTGGAAAGGGGATTTTTGGGGGCAGAATGGACTACAGAAAGAATACATTTAGGGACTAATGCCACTTAAATTAAGACCGAGACATGGCAATACAGGACGCTGAAGGTTTCATTTTTAGTCTATGGAGAGTGAAATGCTTCCGCTTTAATAAGCTGACCATATTCCAAAATTATTGTGGTTGATACAATATTGTGCATGAATTACTGGCCTCACCCTGCAAGAATGGTATTTGATTTGTGCAAACGTCCCTTGCTGCAATTTAGAGAAACAACAACCTGGCATGTTGATTACTGGTGCAGGGTATTTATCATTTCTGTAAGGAAAGCATGAAGAACAGGGTTTGTTTTTCTGGGTATCACTTCTTGCAGTGAGTACCTAAAATAGATGTTGTAGTTCTTTGACGTATGAAACAAAATCTAGTTATTGGTTAAAAAGTATATAAAATAAAAAAAAAAAGCTTGAAGCTTATGAAGTGACTCCACAGAGTTCAGACCTTTAGCAGTATAAACATAATATAAACTTCATTGTCTGTAGTATTGTGCCGTGACATTAGTCTCACTAAGACAAAATGCCACTTTGCAGCAAGCAATAAATCTGACAAAGCATTTTTAAACATAATGCCCTAACTTGCTAAGACAGGCTTTTACACGCTTCCAAACCTCTCCCTGAAAATTAACCCAGTTGATTCTCCAAATGTTAAGGGTCTCGGGCAAAAGTAAACCAAAGGCTGAAGTAAAATAACCATCCCCTTGGAACTGAACGAAAACTTAAATCCAGGAGGGATCACAGTCTAATTTCATATACATATATATGTATGCGATACACATATATATGAAATTAAAATAGAGACACACATGACTTGGGCATCAGAAGGGGACTGCTACTTTCATACATTCATAAATAGCTGCTGAACTCTCTACTCATGAAGAAGCTCTTGTAGGCAGTTTGGGGATTTGAAAATCTCGGGGACCTCACTGTCCAGCTTACAGATGACCTTGTATATGGCCTTCTTCCAGGAAGGATCAACATCTTTGCCTGCGATAATGGCATTGAAAAACTCCCGTAACGTGATCTGAGCCACTTCCAGGAATCTCTCTGGAACCTGCTGATACAAGGAGACAATGGCATTAATACAGTTTTCAATTTCAAGTCTCTGGTTCTTCAAAGGAAACTGAGCTAAGTTCTTTCTTTCAGAAAGGGGCTTACATAGCACCTGCATTTTCTAAATGTGGCAGCCTTCTATTCTCTTATGCAAAGCTGTTATATATAGTACTATAGCAATAACTTTTATAACATGTGTTAGAGATCTTTGTAAAGTCTACTGACAGAATGTAGGTAACAAAATGTTACTGTCTGAGTTTGGAGAGTGGGGGATTTATAGGATATAATTAGCAGGGGGGGAAACAAACACAATTGTCTTTAAGGAGAGAAATCTCTGCTTGATATTTTACCCGTGCATTTACGGCTATGTTCTCCTCTCCGTGGGGGAACTAATACGCAAGTTATGAATGCATAGAAAGCCCTCTGTACCTCTGCACTTAATTTTGGTCACAACCAGTGCTGAAAGCTATCAAAGAAATAGGGTATCTCTGAATGTTGTTCATAGTTTACAAACAAGCAAGCAAGCAAGCCTTCAGCCAACGGCTTGCTTCTGTGCCTGCTGTGCACGAGACCCCATAAGATGGCTTTCTCAGGAGACATTATGGTCTCCCCTTCTTTTTCAGAAGCCTACAAATAAAACCCCAACCCCAACCTCTTCAATGGGTGCATTGTGCTCCAAATGGCTACTGAGCTGGGATGCATTAAACTCATCTGGGTTTTCTAAAAGTCACTGTGACTTCATGGGTGAGCCAAACGGCCGGCTAGCAGAGGCATGCCACTCTCAGAAGCCCCTGAACAATGGGTGAAAGTTAAAAAACACAGTTACCTCCAAACTTTGGTACTTCATCCTAAATAGTTGTCTCAGGCACCAGCACCACCTTCTTACCCTCTACCTTAAATGATTCAAAAGCAATCACTATAATGAACTATAGGTCAGTTGCAAGGTTGAGGTCATATCCATAAAGGTATTATTTTCCATTTTTACTACGGAAATATGGCTTCACAGGTCTAGAACTGCTAATACACGGCCGGCTAGTAGCCAGCATGCTTATAATAGCAAGTATTCCCTCACTGCTATTCTTTGCCCACTCCGGCAAGAAGAGTTCTCTGACCTGCAGTGGGGGCCACTTCAACCATTTCTGTGGCCAACAGACACCCTGGCAGATCTCACTTATTTACCGAATGCATGTCACATTGCCAGATCAGGGCCAGCACCTTATCCTCTACTTCAGGCTTTTGTTCTGCCTTCAGAAGCCACTTTCAGAAAACTTGTCTGGAAATGTGCATGTTTAACTCAATATGATAGAGCTCTGGAGCCTCACTTACCGATCACTGTTGCAGAAACACTAGCAGTTTGCTAGCCATGTTTTGCCATCAGATAAGCATGAGATCAGCTTCCCCTGACACCAGCTGACAAACTCTGCTTCCAGAAGCCCCGTGGCCCACAGAAGTCCCCTGTCTACCTCCAAGAGTGAAAACCAGCCCCCACGTGTTTTTCCCTGCGCCCAAAGATAGGCTGCCTTCTGTGGAAATTTTTCATTCAACAGGCCACACAGAAAAAACGCTTTTACACATGTCCTATTCCACCAATAATTATGAGGGAAGAAAAGAACTATTGTGTTTCACTTGTTCCAGCTCAAAAAAATAACTTAAAACTTCACATAACCACGCTGCTGTTTGGGCACTTGGTAATATGTCTATAAAAGATACCATGCTTGTCTCATTCTTGCATTGCTGTAAAAAATGATACACTTTTCAGTTCAGGCAGTTCAAACACAGCTCGTGTGCTGTTCACCACCTTTGGTATTGCTGGGCGTCAACCAAGGGGAAGGAGTGATTTGACTACATGGTAGTAGAAAGCAAGAAACATAGTAGATAACGAGCTTTTTGGTGTACACACTAATATTAGTGAACGAGGGCAAACCCGGTTGTTTTTTGCCTTTGTGTTTGGGAAGAAGAGTTCACACCTTTCAATTTTGGTGTGAGGACCAGTATTAGATGCCTTTCCTCCCTTCCAAGTCACTGGAGACGGAAGGAAGGCAATTACAAATGCCTACACGAGAAGCATTAAGTCCAGATGCAAAAAAGTCCTACCTCTTCCTACATGGTTACACCCATGACAACTTTAGGCATGAAGGTGACAGCCTGGGTTTTAAGTTGAGCCTTTGCCATTCAATTTCTACCTGTGCATATGAAAGTTTTCCAGGTAGGGGATGCTGCTTTTCCACAGAGTAGGAAGCGTGAAACCCCTGAAACAACTACATTCCAGGCCTCCCACCCCTGTAAAGACACACAGGCTTTTCTTTTAAGCTAAGAGCTAGCTTTTAAGGTCTAACTTCATTGTAGCTGAGTCACATCTGCAGGGTCAGGCCCCTTTGAACTTGGGACAACAGGCTGCAGAGAGCAGCCCACAAACATAAGTGAACGAAGCCCTGCGGGGGCTTTGAAGACACCTCCTCATAATGCCAAGTTCCCAAAGACCTCCCGTACTCCTCAGGCATTAGAGCCATTCATAGCTCTTTCCTTCTGGGATGTTATTAGCAATTTTTCATGTCAGACTGGATTACACACGTTACTTTGCATGTTGTAATGTGAATAGCACTGTGATTAATCTGCACAGGATAGTACGTCGGCCAACATTTTTCCTTTCTAGAAAGAGTAACTGCACAGTGTTGTTGGGGTTTTTTAAAATAAAGAAAATACTAGTGAAGTCCAGAGCCTGAAAATAAATGTTTAAATGGATGGGTAGTTAGATTTTTCACTGGGCAATAATCAGTCAGCCATGTTAATTATGTGTCTGGGGGTAGCATTTCCCTGACCCTAAGTGATGGTGACCTATTCAGCGCATCTTTACACCTAACTGACTGAACATCTCTGAAGTAGGAACATCTGCAGAAAATGCTTCAGTGACAAATAAACTCCATCTACGTTGCTTTTAATAGAACCAACAATCCCTAGTATGAACCCAGGGCATTTTCTTAGCATCAGGTGGCAGCAGTCAATCAAAGAATCACACTGTACATTCACCAGGAGGAAAGACAATGAGGTCTGCTTGGGGGGAGGCTAGGTGGGTTTCAGGCTGAAGCCTCCACATCAGACTGATTTAGAAAGAAATCACACTTTGCCGCATGCTTTGTCAATATAACTTAGCTCTGCTGCCAAAGAAAAAGTCACAGGCCAAACTTTCAGCTAGTGTAAATCAGCAGGGCTCTACGAGCCTCAGTGCAGTTATGGTGATTTACACCTGGTGCACATCAGTCCTGTACCTCCTAACGCAGTCCAACAACCACCAGAGTGCCCCTTCTCAAGCCTTAGCCATGTTAACACAAACCCTTCATCTGTGAAAACTGGGAGGGAATTAAAGCGTTCATCTGCTTTTGTCTATTTATGCTGTTTTAACTACTGGCATTTTCCTTGGCTTGAACAACAAACCTGAACTATTTCACTCCTGGGTTTGCATGTGCAACTACCATGCTGAACCATTTGGATTAGCATTGTGGGGGAGTGCTTTGTTAAAAATACTCATCACAAACTATTTCTATGTGAGTAAAAGTATAGTTCCAATGGCTCAAAAGTTGGAGCCAAGACAAACCTAACTCACACTTCTTTCATACACAAGCATACACAGTTGCAGAAAGCGATACGCTTTAAAAACACTTGTTGAATTTCTTTTCAAGGAAAACATTGCCAAAAAGGCAGCGGTGATTGGGAAGGTGAGGGCAGATCCTCAGCAGGTCTAAGTCAGCATTGCTCGAGGAAAATCAGTGAA